CATGCAGAAGAGTTCCTAACAACGTATGCAGATATTCCACCTTCAAAGCGGGACGCATGACTCCTTTTCCTTAAGTGCTGGCTACGCAGAGTGACTTCTTTCCAAAGAGCACAGTAGGGGAAGAGGGGATAGAAGAGAAATTTGACTGTGGAGAAACCAGATAAACATTACCCCAGCCACGTGGTCACCATCAATATCAACAGTGATAAATTACATTGACAGGATAGACCTGTGATATGATGTGATTAAAATGCACTTGACCTCTGTGGTCTTTATCCCTAAGATCTCATAACCCTAGTCTAATCATGAGGAAAACATCAGAAAAATTCCACTAGAGGGGCATCCGACAATATACCAAACCAATAATCCTCAAAACTGTCAAGGTCATCAAAACAAGAAAAGTCTGAAAAACTGTCACAGCCAAGAAAAGTCAAAGGAGACGTGACAACCAAACACAATATGATATCCTGGATGGGATCTGGAAACAGAAAAAGGACATCCAGTAAAAACTAAAGAAATGTCAATACAGTGGGGCATCACTTAATAATAACATGTCAATATTGTCCATTCATTGTGATACACGTACCACAGTCACGTAAAAGGTTAATAACAGAAGAAATGGTTCAGATGTGAGTGAACTCTCCATACTAACTTCTCAATTTTTTCTGTAAATCAAAACTGTTCTAAAAAATAGTCTATTTTAAATTTTTAAAAAATAGAAACTCTAAAAGTGGCAACCTCACAGTATCTTTACCAAGTTTAAGCTGAGCTTGGTAAGTTTCCTGCAATAAGTCAGGGTACATGGTTTATATTCCTTTTTTTTTTTTTTGAGATGGAGTCTCACTCTATCACCCAGGCTGGAGTGCAGTGGCACGATCCCAGCTCACTGCAACCTCTGCCTCCCGGATTCAAGTGATTCTCCCATTTCAGCCTCCCAAGTAGCTGGGACTACAGGCATCCACCACCACACCCAGCTAATTTTTGTATTTTCAGTAGAGGCGGGCTTTCACCATGTTGGCCAGGCTGGTCTTGAACTCCTGACCTCAAGTGATCCGCCAACCTCAGCCTCCCAAAGTGCTAGAATTACAGGTGTGAGCCACTGTGCCCAGTCTATATTTCTCTCTTATGCAAATATTTTGAACCAATCAACAAAGCCGCCCCAGAAGACCCTCACTGACCAGTGATCTAGAGACCACATTGTGAGAACCAACAATGACTTTGGCATAGTACGCTGTACTATTTTCAGACATTCCTCAGCACAATAAAATAGGAAGCAAAAAAATATGGTATTGGTGTGAATCTGAAAATATGTATGGCAAGCTGGGGAGAGAATGTTCTTGGATAAAACACACTGGGTACCAGCCATCAGAACTGTAACAGTCCAAGCAAAAATATGCATGTATAAAATATTTTCAAAGAGGTCTCACTTCTAAACATATAATCAGATACAGCAGGCAATAACTCCTTCCACATCATCTCCTCCTCTGTCATCTTCACACTGCAGATAATCACAGAGCTCCTCAGTCAAGTATCTATCCAGCCCAGCTAGTAAGTCTGTTCCCTCAGCTCCTCAGCATGTGATGGTAACACTGCTCTACATTTATTATTCTCTTTTTTTTCAGAGACAGGGTCCTGCTGTGTTGTCCAGGCTGAAGTGCAATGGGCATCCACAGGCTCAATCACTGCGCACTACAGCCTCAAACTCCTGGGCTCAAGCGATCCTCCTGCCTCAGCCTTCCAAGTAGCTAGGACTATGGGTGTGCCACTGAACGTGGCTTGACACTGATTCCCCTTATAGCGTCACTTCACTAATGTATATTGTATTTCAGTGCAAAAGTAAATTCTTTGAGAGCAAGAAAAGAAAAAAGGGAAGAGAACTAACATTTGCTGTCATGTGTTTAATTTTTTCGAGACAGGTTCTCGCTGTCACTCAGGCTGGAGTGCTGTGGTGTGATCGTGGCTCACCAAACCCTTGACCCCTGGGCTCAAGAGATCCTCCCACCTCAGACTCCCGATAGCTGGGACTACAAGTGTGCACCACCATGCCCAGTTAAGTTTTTTATTTTCAGTAGAGATGAGGTCTCATGACACTGCCCAGGCTGGTATCAAACGCCTGGGCTCAAGCTTCAGCCTTCCAAAGTGCGTAAGCCATCACACCTGGCCCACTGTTACGTATTTTATATGTTAAACACTGTCCAATTTTATATAAATGTGTTAACAACAACAACAACAAAAACACTTGATTCCCCATTTCCCCAATGTGGTAGGTGTTATTACACTGATTTTACAGATGACGAATATAAAGTTCAGAAAGGTAAAGTGACTTGGGAAGACTAGAAACTCAGTGACTCGCTGAGTCATGTCTCAGGGATGCCGTGAGGTCCATGCTGTGCCTCTCACAGCCTGCTGCCCCTTCAGGCCTTCTATGCGTACACACTTGCCAGCTCCAGGTGCTGTGCAGGGAGACATTCACAGGCTTTTCCTGACACGAACCAAGTTCAGTGGCTGATAAGAGGGAACCCCATGGCAGGACCTTGCTAATAATATTTTAAGACTAAAGTCTAGCCCGTCTGTGGCCCTTAAGGAAGTAAAAGGAAAACAAAGAGCGTGGTGAACTGTACCATTATCAAAGGGGTTCACCACTATACCTCACTTTGCACCACTAATCAGAATACCAGGAACTTTCTAACATGCTGTACCCAGGAAAAAAAACTATTTCAGATTCTAAATGATAAGAAATAGTCTTGTATGGTTATATTTTTAAACGGCAACCAAAGAATTGCATTTTACATCCTTTTCTTACGAAGAGGACAAGGTTTTGACAAGCATCTATTGTACTGCCTACCACTCACTGCATCCTTATAAACTATATGCATCTTACAAACCAGCAATATTTTTCCTTCTTAATCCACGTCTTAGATAAAAAATGAAAAGTAGTGTTCTCAAGATTTATGTTATTTTCCTTTTAAAATGTTTATAATTTATATTGTTTGCATAAAACTAAATGAGATTCTTCTTCTGCTTCAAATAATCCAGAAAAGAAACACAAAAATTTACGGTAATATAGTAATTTCAGCCAGAAGTCAGTATCAAAACAAAACAAAAAAACACTAAATTGTTTTTCATACTTCTTCACTACCTAATCTAAATCTGCTATCTTAGTTACATTTCCTTGCTGGTATTTAAATATGATAACCATAACACTTTAAGAGAATTTTATTACGGAATATTTGCATGCTATAAAAATAAGACAAAAAGGACCAAGCAGTTAAGTGTAGATTATGATCAAAGTCCTAGCTTTGGTTCTGGGCTGTCAGTGTGTTAGTATCATTCAGTAGAACCCACTGCAGCTAAGATCCAGAGTGCCGAAATGATGAGCCACCAATGCAAAATAAGTCCCTATCACTCAGGTCCAGTATCCGTCCAGTTTTTCAGATGAGGCAACCCTGACACACACTGTTAAACAAATTATGCCAAATTTAAACATAGTTCCTGAGACAAGTAGGTAACGCTTCAAAATGCTATTAAAGTAGAACCAGTTATAAGAAATGAATTGCAAGAAACTGGAACCCTTGAGCACCACTGATAGGAAGGTGAGGATGGTGCAGCCACTGTGGAAAACAGTGTAGTGCTTCCTCAAAAATTAAGTAGACAATTACTATATGATCCAGCAATTCTACTTCGGGGTACAGACCCCAAAAAAACTTGAAAGGAAGAACTGGAACAGATATTTGCACACCAATGTTCATAGCAGCATTAATCAGAAGAGCCAAAAGGTTGAAACAACCCAAATGTCCATCAGTGAGTGAATGGATAAACAAATGTGGAACGTATATATAATGTATTATTCTGCCTTAAAAGCACACACACACAACGAAATCCTGACACAGGCTACAACATGAATGAACCCTGAAGACATCATACTAAGTGAAATAAGACAGCCATAAAAGACAAATACTGTACAATTCCACTTATAAAAGGTACCTAGAATAGACAAACTCATAGAGACAAAAAAAAAAAAAGGAATGGTTGGCAGGGGCTGGAAGTGGTGGAGAAGGGGGAGATACGTTTAATGGGAACAGTGTTTCAATTTGGGAGGGTAAAAAAGTTCTGGAGAAGGAGGGGGATGATGGTTGAAGAACAATGTATACTTAATGCCACAGAACTGTACACCTACAAATGGTGACAACGGTCCATTTATGTGATGTATATTTTACAATAGAAAATCGTAAGTAAAAGTAATTGCTGGCATCATTTGCATTGTCCTGAAGTATACAGGTTTTAGAATTTGTTACAAAATGAAAGAACTTAATTGCAACTTTTCCAAGTCTTTTAAGAAAAAATACTGCGCACTTGTATTAGAGACCACAAATTACTTAAATATCTCTTCAGAATCTTAGTGAACTTAGTGATCGACATCTAAAATTATACAGGAAAAAAGGGAACTCTACAATGGGACTGACCACTGTATCTGATTAGCTATCATTTTATAACCAAAAGTTCTATTATGATCAAACAATAAACATTTCTACTCATCATAAAAAACAGAAGTAAGTCTACACAATATCAGTGAATACTCACGATTCACTCACTGTTTCCAGTATAAAGCTATGGCATTCAACTCATGGCCTGAATAGTAAGCGAGGAGGAAAGAGCTACCCCAATTTTTCTTTTTGTTTTAAAGGTTTTCGAGTTTACTTAATACCCTATTCTCATATAATAGGGCTGTTGAAAGGCTTCTCTTTGGCTTCACCGTTTTCCTCTACTCGAACTTTACAAAGGAGATAAATGCTTCAGACATAACCTTGATTACACCATGGCTTGGCCTGGTAATGTCAGTTGCAAGTTTGCTGGTTTAAGAGTTCGAATAATTTGTAAATAACAGTACATGTTTCTATTGTGTTTCCAGAATGTATAGAGTTGGCATAGCATGGAAAGCTAAGAGGATCAAAAATCCATTAAAATAGTCCCTAACAAATGAAGAAGAAACACTCACAAACCTTCTTGAGAAGACACAATTGGTGGCAGGTAATCAGGAATGTATTCTTTTCTTTCCTCTGCATCTTTACTTCCAGGTTGAGGAAACTGAAGTACATTGTTCTTGCTAACGGGAAATGACGGAATTTGGTGTGGGAAGGTGACAGGTTCAATGTTGTGAATATAGTCTTCTAGTTCATGTAGACTAACCCCCATCAGCTGGAAAGCTTCACTAACATCATCCAAAACTGGGTCTGTTCGGCCATCTGAAACAAAGCCAAAAGCAAATCAAATTATTTGAAGAAATCCCGTGAATATATTTTTAAATATTAAAAAAGGTAGTAAGTAAATATGCAGCTCAGAATCAAACATTTTAACCTAGTTATTGGAAAGAATTTAATATTTTAAATAGAATATCACAGAATCATGTTTAAGCTGATTATTAAGGTCAAGCTTAAATACGATCAGACAACTAGCCAGAACACCACAGAAAAATCACACTCATGATCAGCTTATATATTATAGAACAAATTTCAAAGTAGTTTACCGATGATCAAAAGCATCTGGAACAGTGCCTGACACACAGAAAATGCCCCAAAAATAATAATAATAAAGTAGTGTTTTGTCTTTTTTTCGAGATGGCATCTTGGCTGGGCGCGGTGGCTCACGCCTGTAATCCCCACACTGAGAGGCTGAGGCGGGCAGATCACAAGGTCAGGAGTTCGAGACCAGCCTGGCCAACATGGTGAAACTGTCTCTACTAAAAATAAAAAAATTAGTCGAGCATGGTGGCGCACGCCTGTAATCCCAGCTACTCAGGGGGCTGAGGCAGGAGAACTGCTCGAACCTGGGAGGCGGAGGTTGCAGTGAGCCGAGATCACGCCACTACACTCTAGCCTGGGCAACAGAGCAAGATTCCGTTTCAGAAAAAATAAAAAAAGAGAGATGGCATCTTGCTTGTTGCCCAGGCTGGAGTGCAGTAGTATGATAATAGCTTCTTGCTGCCTCAAACTCCTAGGCTCAAGCAATCTTCCCCTCTCAGTCTCCTGAGTAGCTGGGGCTATAACCACATGCCACCATGCCTGGCTAATTATTATTATTATTATTATTATTATTATTATTATTTGTAGAGATGAGTTCTTGCTATGTTGCTCAGGCTGGTTTTGAATTCCTGGCCTCAAGCAATCCTCCTGCTTCTGCCTCGCAAAGTGGTGGGATAACAGGAATGAGCCAATGTGCCTGGCCTTTTTTTTTTTAATCATCAAATAAGTAGTGTGCTGTGCTGACAAAGTCAATGTTTGTTACATTTCCTCTGTTGTTCCCTGATGCATCTGCGGAATCTTAAACAGTGGCTGGAACATAGCTGGCACTCAATAAATACCTACTGAATGAATTATACCAGTAAATGAATTTCTAAAATCTAAGAATATTTACAAAGAAGGCTCAGATCATAAAAGTTTGGTTTTTGTTTGTTTTTTGAGACAGGGTCTCACTCTGCTGCCCAGGCTGGAGTGCAGTAGGGCAATCATGGCTCACTACAACCTTAACTTCCCAGGCTCAAGCCGTCCTCCCACCTTAGCCTTCCGAGTAGCTGGGACTACCAGTGCACCACCACCATGCCCAGCCATAAAGGTAAATTTACCTATAAATTTTCAAATGTAATTAGAAAACACAACATAAAACAGAAATAAAAAGATAAAAAGTTAGATATAGTGAGTTTTTTTCTTTACAAAAGCAAGTTTTTCTTATGCCTATCCTTAGCAGAGCTTAAGATCTCTACATCTTTAAAAATGTCTATGAAAATTCCAGTTTCCGATTTTCAATAGCCTAAAGGATTGAACTGAAATCCTGACTTTTTAACTGAAATCCTGAAATTTGATCACTTCAAACTCAGTATGTCTGAAACTAAATCACACTGTAAAATGAAAAAGAATCCAAATCTTGCTAGAATTGGACGCATGTGTGGTAATGCATACAGAAACGTCTAGAAGGATATTCAGCCAATGGTTAACAGTTGAAGGGGATGGAAGCTGCAGTAGAGGGGAGGGCTGTGGTGGAAGCAGGAGACTGACTTTTAACTCTACATACTTCTGCAGTCTTTGATTTTTTCTTTTCTATAAGCATGGGTTACTTCTAATGTATACTTCTAATGATGTATAAAAAAGAGAAAACAAATAAAACGAATACTCTTCTTACTGAACGTAAACAGGCATTTCAACTCTTCTATTCCTATTAAAGCTATTATTACTCTCTCAGTCTAAAAAATATAATCATCTTAAATTCCTCCATATGCTTCACAGCCTCAAACCAAAACCTGGAACTGTTTCTAACCCTGTCCCCCTCCCCATCCCCGGGCACTTTTTTTTTTTTTTAACCATGATTTCAGATTTTTTTCCTTTCTCTCTATTCTTACTGTCCCTGTCTCAGTATAGTCTCAAGTTCTGCCCACTTCAATGTCTTGTGCACATCACTGTCAGTACAATTTTCTTAAAATACCACTTTAATCATATTGTCCCCCTACTTAGAAGTATGCAATGTTTTCTACTACATGTTTTAATTCTTTTGTCTAGCTTTTAAGTCCCTCCATAACCTGATTTCACTGTGTTGAACACTTTCCTCAGACACCCTTGGAATGAACTAGCTGCATAGGGAGCTGAACACCTTACTGGTACTTTTATTATGCTTAATCTCACCTGGACAGCTTAGTTTATGTGATTCTCTAACCCGGAATACTCTATACCTTTATACAACCATACTTCATAGCTCAACTCAAATCTTATCTTTTCTGTGAAGTAATCCTACCCTAGAATCCATAGCCTACAACCATCTCTCCTCTTACTCCTTTTACATTTACTCCCTGTACCATACAAAAAATATTATAGTACTAGTGTTGAAGAGTCAGTCTGAAAGATTTAGCACCTGCTTTCAGCGCACGCCAACACATTTAATATATAATGTGACACAGACAGAGACATCTGCCCTTGAATGCTTGGAGAAATTGTTACCCTAAGGCAATTCTGAAGTTCATTATTTGTTCATTATTTGAATTAATGGTAACTTCTAATACTTGCTTTAACTTGAGAACATTTATTTTAGAAGAAACAAACACCATCAGTTTGTTTTTGCTGACATTCTGGCACTCTTGAACACACCTTATGGGCAGGGATTGTATCTTAGTAATTTTATGTCTCCAATGTCTAGTACAGGGATTGGTTCATAAGTGGTGCTCAATAAGTGTTTGTTAAAACAACAGAAAGAATTTAAAGGAGTGGAATACAAGATTCTGTAGTGGTAACTTGGAGTTACAGAATTCGATTTTAGAATAAGACTGGTATAGAAAAAAGAATCTAAAAATATCTAATAAGTATACCAAAATTAGCGTTAAAAAAAAAGTCATCAAATCACAATGGGACATAATGAACCTGACAATCTCATTCTCACTGAAACCAAGAAACTGGCTATGGAAATTAGGTAATTAGGAAGAAGGTTTACACTGAAGAGCTGCAATGACCCCTGGGTGACTTTGGAATACCTAGTCACATGGAGTGCCAGCTCCCTTCTGTTTTGTATAAAAGGCAGGAAAGGTAACTAGTATTCAGGAGACATTCTGAATAGCTAAAGATACATGGTAGCAAACATAATCTGGACTATGCCTAGCCTAGCCTAGCCTATCCTATCAGTAACAGTATACTCAAGAACCACTGCAGAGCAGGCCAGAGGAAAAAGAAACAAAAGCCAGAAGAGTAGTCAACTGGTGATGCACTTTCAAGATAAAAACACATGCATATTACTTTGTGGTTCCACATCCAGATGTATCAGTGAGCTGGGCATGGTGGCTCATGCCTGTAATCCCAGCACTTTGAAACACTGAGGCAGGAGGATCACCTGAGCCCAGGAGTTTGACAGCAGCCTGAGCAATATAACCAGACCACATCTCTACAAAAAAATAAAAAAATTAGCTAGGCATGGTGGCGTATCCCTATAGTCCCAGCTACTTGGAAGGCTGAGGCAGGAGGATCACTTGAGCCCTGAAGTTCGAGGCTATAGAGAGCTAAGATCGCACCACTGCACTCCACACTGGGCAACAGAGTGAGACCCTGTCTCAAAAGAAGAAGAATAATAGAAGCATCAGTGAAATCAAGCATTCAAAGCATACACATTTTTGGAACTCAATATGTAAAGTCAATAAGTGGCTTTTAGGGTAGTGGTTTATCAGTTCATTCATTTATTCAACAAATATTTCTCAGGTGCCTATTACATAATGGCCCTATAGGTTACAGAATACAAATATAATCAATTTTTTCTCCTGGAGAGGGGAAAGAGACATACACAGGTGATTACAAAACAAGATGACAAATAATATAAAAGAAATATGCACAGAATTATGAAAGCAGATAACATGAGTTCCCTAAAGCAAGTGATAAGTGCATCTCAAAATAAAAGTAGTACTACCGGTGGGCCAGGGGCAAAGGACAGTCTCGGTAAGAAACAGCACGTATGTAAGAATGGACAGCTTAAAACATTTTGGAAAAGGCAGGTAGCTCAGCGTGGTCGCAGATTAGGTAGGCTGGCAAAAGATAAGCAAAATGCTAGCTCACAAAGGGAACTGTGTACTGCTAAGAGTTTAGATTTTTAGCCTGTAACCAACGAAGTACAGTTAAAATATTTTTAAGAATAATGACAGGATCAGATTTGTGTTATGGACAGAATAGTTTGGCGCCCTGTGGAAGAGGGAACGAAATTCGGGGCCTGAGAAATACAGCGTGTCTGTGAGTCTCAATTTTTCAGTATAGGAACCACTTTAACAAAACAAAATATCCTATGAGATACTTCATTCAGTTCTCCAGCTTATCACCTTAAATATCATGACTTGAACCTAAGATGAGTGGTAGTTTCCTCTCCTCAACAAACACACATGCAATGCTTCACATCAACAAGATAATGTGGAGCTTCTATTAAAATATTCCATTCCTTCCATTAAATTATTAAATACCACTAGCTATAGATATTACCAGACATTCACTTAAAACCCGTAAGTACTGTAGCCCAGATTACCTGGAGAATCTTGTCAACTGCCCACGGTCCCTGTATCCTACTTCGATAACAACTGACATCTCACTGGTAACCGAGACGTAAGTGAAAGTACATCTCATCAGCGAAACTGACAAAGTCAGCCTTGGGAAAACAGTAAATGGAGATGTCGTTCACGAAACGAACAGACACAGAAAGACGAGGCAATGTCCCTAACGGAGCAGAGCTGTCAACGAGTCTATGTAGTTAGGAGCTCAGGAATGGCCAGTCTTGTAAGAAACGGCCGGTAGACGGAGCGCCTGTGACAACTAGTTGTAGTAGTTTGCGGGCAAGGGAGAAAAAGGACCGAGGTAAAAGAGGGTGTAGGGCACGCTGGGGGTGGATCTACCCGCAGCAAACAGGAGACAATGAGAGAGATCCAGGCACATTTCAGGGCGGAGGAGCGGTAGGAGGGTGTGGAGCTGGGAGCGAAGACCCGGCTCCCGAGCTGGTGGCGGGAAGTTAGCGGATGAGGAAGAGGCACCCGAAGGATGACTAGAGTTTGCAGGGGCAGTGGAAGCCCAGGGACGTGGGAGGCCGAGGAGACAGCAGATCTCGAGGCAGGGTGCGGGATGCACACCCCGGGGACGCGGAGGGACAGGGAGAGCGGAGGTGTCACCCTTGACTTGCCGGGGCAGCCCTCCCGCACCCAGCCCGGTACTCACAGAGCTCAGAGTACCGATGGCAGCCCCGGCCCAGCTGCTGCAGATAGCGCTGCAGCACGTCCGTGAGGAGGTGGCAGGCGCTGAGCTGCACCGAGTCCCAGCCCAGCGCCTGGCAGATCTGCGCCACCGAGACCCTCAACAACGACCTGGAGTAACTCTCGCACATCCCGCTGCGTGGACGCCACCGCAGCCCTTGCTGCCACTGCTCTCCAGCCCCGCCGCCAGACCTTAGCAGGGCCCCCGATTCATCCTCTAGGGCTTCCGCGGCGGGGAAATGGTCCCCCGGACCCCCGGCGACCACCTCAAAGCCCCAGCAGCACGGAACGCGCCAGCCTGAGAGCCGCCATTTTGGACTCGCTCCGCCTCCCGCTGGACGGCCGCCGGAGCGAGGCAGCATGAGCCGAATGCTGAGCGCGCCGATGAGAAAGCCCCGCCCCGTCGGAGCGGAGCGAAGCCTCGGGATCGCCTCTGAGGCCTGGAAGCCAGCCGGAAGCGGGCGTGCGGCGCGCAGGTGGAGGAGGCGCCCGGGGAGGCAGGTGCTAGAGCGCTCACCTCGAGGAGAGCGGGGACGAAAACGTCAGTGTTTTAGAGGCAAACGAGGGATCTGGGATACGACATTGACAGGTTAGAGAGTTAGCATTAATAACGTTAGTCATATGAGAGGGTTATGTGCTAGAGAGAAGTTCCGGGCGTGGGAACTTACGGTGCTCGCCGAACGCAGACCTGCGCTGGTCTTGCCTATGCTAAAAATCTGTGTATTGAGGTGCTTGCCACTGTAAAGATTAAATAAAGTCCAAGGTGTTCCGCATGCCCTTCAAAGCCCTTCGCAACAGGGCGGGGACTAGGAGGAGGCTTCTGTGCCAAATTAATGGGGGCCCCAAAAAACAGTCATCAAGAGAAAAAATCCAAATCTATGCCATAAACTCCTGACTCACTCATGTCATTCTAATCCCAGCCCTGGTTCCAATAAGACTTTTTTTTTTCTTTTTCTTTTCTTTTCTTTTTTTTTTTTTTACAAATCAGGTGAGCTGCCTGTGGGCTGTAGTGTGCGATTTACGCATCGCGGCTGTGACCTGTGGGGGGTTGGGGACCTCAGCTGCCTACAGAGGCCAAACCGGAGCCTTAAACCGGTGTCGCAGGCCGAGTGCCCTGGGAACGGTTGCCTACCCCAGAGCCTTCTCCCAGCTCCAGCCAAGTATTGCCAGAAATCGGGATTTAGGGATAAATATCTTGATTTTTAAATACAAAAGTTGGGAACACATCTCAAAAGCCAAACTCATCCCACGGTTAGTCTAGATTCAGCCTGCAGGTCGCCCAATTGCAGTGGCTGAACTATGCGGTTTCTTAAATATGCCCTTCTGTACCTATCACAGTTATTTAGTATAAGAGTTTATGTGCTCCTTCAATAAATTCCGAGTTTATGAGTGGCTCTGTATTCCTCCTACAGGGACTATTCCAGAACTTTGAACATGATATTCACATTTTTGAAAGTCTGGAAAACTCAATAATAGAACTGAAATTATGGTTCTTCAGCTAAATGGTGATCTGCAGAGAAGCAAGGTACTAGAGGGCAAGGTGCCTGTATTTACTCCATGGACACTCTGTCCCCAAGTTATCAGGAACATTGTGTTGCTAAATTTATGAGACATTTTTCAGTCCTAGCCTTACTTGATTATTTTGTAGCTATTTGATAATGTTAAATGCTTCTGTAACATTGAAACTCTCTTGGCCTTGGATTTCACAAGTCTGCCCGGCTACCACCACCACCCTGGCTGTTTGTTCCTCTTCATTTGCCTTTCTGTGTATAAGGGAGGGGATTTTATTTCGGAAAATTTCAAACCTACAGAAAAAGGTGAAACAAAATCATAGACTCAAGTATACACTGCATCTAGATTCACCAATTGTTAACATTTTGCCAATTTACTATGTCTTTTATATTTATATATGCACACAGCTATTTTTTTCCAGCAGTTTGAAAATAAGCTGCAAACTTCATGACACTTAACCCCACCACACCTCAACATGTATCAGCCCAAAACAAGAACATTCCCCCACATAACTATATACAAGTTCACATGTCACAGGCTTTGTTCCTCAGGAAGTCAACTCTGAAATAGAGATGAGCCTGCAGAAAGTTCATTGAGGAATCCTCCTGGGACTTGGGGGAAGGAATGAAAGCCAGGGTGCAGTGAATGCCTTGGCAAGGAAAGCCTCAGCCAAGCCAATGCCATAGTGTGCAGAAGCTGGAGTGGCCCTTCAGAGCTTCCCTGAATCCAAACATGAAGGCTGGACTTTGGCCGGGCGCAGTGGCTCACGCCTGTAACCCCAGCAGTTTGGGAGGCCGAGGCAGGCGAATCACAAGGTCAGGAGATCGAGACCATCCTGGCTAACACGGATCACAAGGTCAGGAGATCGGGACCATCCTGGCTAACATGCTGAAACCCCGTCCCTACTAAAAATACAAAAAAGCCTGGCATGATGGCGGGTGCCTGTAATCCCAGCACTTTGGGAGGCCGAGGCGGGCGGATCACCTGAGGTCAGGAGTTCAAGACCAGCCTGGCCAACATGCTGAAACCCCGTCCCTACTAAAAATACAAAAAAACTAGCCGGGCGTGGTGGCGGGCGCCCACAGTCCCAGCTACTTGGGAGGCTGAGGCAGGAGAATGTCGTGAACCTGGGAGGCGGAGCTTGCAGTGAGCAAGTGCAGTCCCGCCACTGCACTCCAGCCTGGGCGACAGAGCGAGACTCCGTCTCAAAAAAAAAAAAAGAAGGCTGGACCTTTATATTCCCATACGAACAGGTCACTGCATGAGGGCTACCTGGGAAAGGGTGTGTGCTCTCAGGCAAAGGAACTCTCTGCAGCTGAGTCCATTCAATTCCAAGGACAGCTGAAGTCCTTCAGTCCCGAGGGGCTCTGAGCAGTATATTAGAGCATTCATCACACTTCATCTCTTTTTTTTTTTTTTTTTTTTGAGACGGAGTCTCGCTCTGCCGCCCAGGCTGGAGGTGCGGTGGTGGGATCCCGGCTCACTGCAAGCTCCGCCTCCCGGGTTCACGCCATTCTCCTCCCTCAGCCTCCGGAGTAGCTGGGACTACAGGCGCCCGCCACCTCGCCCGACTAGTTTTTTGTATTTTTTTTTTAGTAGAGACGGGGTTTCACCGTGTTAGCCAGGATGGTCTCAATCTCCTGACCTCGTGATCCGCCCGCCTCGGCCTCCCAAAGTGCTGGGATTACAGGCGTGAGCCACCGCGCCCGGCCTACAGTTCATCTCTTTTACCCTCAGAGACACGTCTTGGTTTGAGGAACGTCTCCTCCAGGATTCTGGAGGGGGCCCTTTCCCTGGGGAAAACATTAAAGAGGAAGGTCAGGAGACAAGTTAGAGCCCCGACTGCTGCAGCCAGGCCTCAGCGGATACTCAGTATTCTCCTCCTCAGGCCTACATTTCTCTCACTTCTGGTCTCAGTAGCTTACTTGGTGGCATGATGCAGACCCTCGTGTGCAGGTCTGAGCCGCTGGTTTCCAGGCCCTTTTCATACTGTGGCTGCTGAACTCGTCCTTGTACCATCAAAATTGGGGAAGAGAATACCCACAATTGGGCAAGAGGCACCCAAACGGACCATCTGGAAACCAAACACTCCACCTTGCCTCCCGCTCTGTGATAGGAGCCCATCCCCCTCCTAAAGATGACTCCTCTCTTCGCTGCAGTCTCAGAGGAAGAGCCCAGGCAGCAACTGTAGCTCATGTTTCAGTGGGACTCCTGCTAGGGCCTCTGGTGAAAGCATTCCCCCGTTTGGAAATGGGATCTGTAAACCTGGAGAGCCCAGAGTGGCAGGAGAGGAAGAACAATTTCCCAGGTGGGTCCCTGAGAGTGATGTAAGTGGAGAAACCCCAGTCTCCACCCTGTGTCATCTGCTTATTGGGAACCCAGCATCACAGAAGAGTCATTGACTTGGTGGGGCACAGTGGCTCATGCCTGTAATCTCAATACTTTGGGAGGCCAAGGCAAGTAGATGGCTTGAGGCCAGGAGTTCAAGACAAGCCTTAGCAGCATAGTGAAACCCCCATCTCTACAAAAAATAATTATTATTATTATGTGTATATATATGTGTGTGTGTGTATATACATATATATGTGTGTGTGTGTGTGTGTATATATATATATATTTTTTTTTTTAAAGAAATTAGCCCCAGTTACTCAGGAGGCAGAGGCCAGAAGATAACTTGAGCCCAGGAGTTTGAGGCTATGGTGAGCTATGATCGAGCCACTGCACTCCAGCCTGGGCGACAGTGAGACCCTGTCTCTACAAAAAGAAAAAAGGTCATTGGCTTAAAGAGTGCACAGCAGCCTAGGGGATCAGGCCCATCCTCAGAAGGTATTGCCTGTGCGCTGGTGCTTTCATTGTGCCTAAAAAAGGCTGTTCCATTGCTGTACCAGGCTGACAGCTTCTGAGTGGTGTGGGGTGTGATATGACCAGTGGGTTTCATAGTCTTGTGCCCACTCCGACATCTCCTTTATTGTAAAATGCGCCCCTTAGGCTAACATAGCGTGATATGGGAACCCAGTGACTCTACAAGATAAGCAGGAAAGGCAAATCCATACCCAGAATATATTTCTTATCACAATGAATGTTTACCCTCGTTATCACATGGCTGACTAGGAGTTGTGGCTCACAGCCTCTGTCCAGCATCATGAGAGAGCATGGTACCACAGATTGCTAGCCTGAGAAAAGATCAAAATTCAAAGTGTGGTTTCTACTGAATGCATATTGCATTTGCACCATCGCAAAGTTGAAAATCATAAATTAAACCATCGTTAAGTTGGGGACCGTCTGCGTATGATGACACAGGGTGAGAGAATTAACATAGCTCTAGGGCAAGACCAAAATGTATACTGTTGTCTGTTCCAAGTGCACAGAAACTATTTCTGATCCTTTCTGTTTGGGATGGAAAAGACAACTTTCACCAGCCAATGACCACATGCCATATGCTTGAGACAATGTTTATCTGTTCTAGCAAAGACACCACATCTGGCAGAGCAACTGCAACCAGGGTTACTACTCAGCTAAGTTTACAACCGTTCACGCTCACCCTTCAAGATACATCTCATATTTGCAGGAGCCAGACTGTCAGATGAAATGAAAATGTAGTGACCCACTGCCTCAGCATCCTTTAGGTCATGATTTCTGCCCACCCCGCCCCAGCTGCAGGGGCAGTTTCAGAGTCATCTCCTCAGCCCTCCCACGCCCAAAGTTCTTACCTACGGGCCAAAGAACCAGCGGAGGGGTTGTGCCGACATCCCAGTATGTCTGTTCCAGTGACACATTCAGGATTCAGGGAATTGGCCACTGAGTGGATATACGTGTGAGCTGAGCCTGGGTCAAGACTCCAGGT